TGTGTGTGTGTGTGTGTGTGTGTGTAAACCTCTTGGAACTTTTGAACGACTTGACCGATTTCATCGCGGTTGGTGTCATTCGAAAGGGCTTCACTAAACTTAGATTTCCTGAAAATTTGAACCGATTCGGACCGGTAGATTTCGAGAAAATGCAAAAAAAGTGAAAAAAAAAAGTTGTTTTTTTTTTTTATTTTTTTCAAATATCTCCGAATTGGCTGAACCGATCGGTCTCAAAAACTAATCAGCTCTTAACCTTGAAAACCCCCATCGATCGCCACCAAAAACGTTAGAATTGGTTGATGTGTTCGTGAGATATCGTTGTCGAAAAAAATCGAAAAAAGTGTTTTTTTGTAATAACTTCGAAATTCATGGCTCGATCGATTTAAACCTGAAAATTTTCCATGGAGCTTCAAAAACTGCGTCGATTGCCGCCAACCGTGTAAAAATCGGTTCATTCATTCAAAAGTTATTGCCGTTTGAAAATTCAAAAAATTGTGTCTTTAAACTGCTATTAGTTTTGAGCTCGAAGAGCTCAAATTGACGCAAAAATAGTATTTTTGAGCTCGAAGAGCTCAAAAACGTAATGTGTAGTTTGAAGCGTTTAAGTACAAAATGAGCGGGAAGTTGCAGGGATGGCCTTTAGGGTGAACCGTTTTTCTAATTTTTTTTTATCATCTAAAGTAACACATTAAGAACTTTCTCAATTAATATGACCGTTCAATTCACGGTCGTTTAATTATTATTTATAAAAAACTAAGATACGACTGTATATTTGTCTATCTATAAGTACATTTTGTTATAGTATTTTTTTTCTTCACCTTAGAATTATGGCGCCGTTAAGCCATAGTAGAGTTTTCTGTTTTTTATAATTTTGTTTTTTGTATTTTATTTTAATCAATTTTAATGTGGAAAATGAGATCATGAGGCGTGCACTTTTGAATTTTCCAAACTTTTTATAAATATAAAGATTATTTTTATTTTAATAAAATAAAGATATGATTAGGGGAGGGGGGGGGGCAAAATGGGGTACTTAAGAAATCGTTATGATTTTCAGGACTTAAATACGCTGATTTTTTTCGTTTTCAGTCGTAATTAAAGAACAATAATCAAATTTCAAGTTGCCGTAGAAAAAAAAAACTTTTTTTTTTTCGCTGGGTCAAAATTGGGGATACTCCCTGGAAAATGTG